GAACTTGTTCTGACCCACGTCCCCGCAGAAGATCCGACCTTTGCCCTCTTTGGTCCGCGGGTCCCCCCGGTCCACGGAACACCTCCACATGTTCCGGACGCCGTACGCATAGATCTCGGGACGAGCCCCACGCTCGTGTATGAAGGGATTATCGGGAGGAATTCTGTACAACGGACCTCTTTCATTGTCGTCCACGTCAATACGCAGAGCTTTACCCAACAGAGCCGACCTGCAGAAGACGAGGAGGTTCATCGATTTAAAGTAACATTTCAAACATGAACAGATTCTTCATTGAAGTAACGTTCATCCTCTACTTCTGTTAGAAGACGTCTTACCGGTTCTGGGCGTTCCCATATTTCCCAAACGGGTCTCCGGCCATCCCTCCGTCCCCGGTGAAAATGTACAAGAAGCCGTCGTCTGCAAAGAGAAGCTGTCCTCCATTATGGTTTGAGGCCGGTTCATCAATCTCTAGAATGACCCTGAACGCAACACGGACAGGTAGTTAAACAGAATCTGGACAGAAACATGCAGACAGAAGTGTTTGGACATTAACAGAATGTAGAAAGAGCACAGACACAATGCGGACGAACATGGAGAGAATTTTAAAGGGATTCTGAAAAATCCACACCTGAGTGTCTACTGACCCACAAAATATGAAATAAATCCATCCAGTTCTTTGTTTGTGGTCTGCATAAGTCTTACAACACAGAGAAAAATGCTCCGTTTCGAATGTGCTCTCCTCGTGATGTCACAGTGGGATTCTGGTAAAAAAAATCCCCTCCCCTCCCCTGGTATCTCCACCCATGGACTCCACCCCCAGTCTAGAGAAAAACTTTTGAGCAGGTCTGCCATTTTATTCTCGCTAGTGAAGGAGTGATGTCTACCAGGAAAACTCAGGGGGGGTCATTGCATTTAAAGAGACACACACACCAAAACGGAGCGTTCTGAGAGAGCTGGTTTATACAGAGTCACAAACCTCCTCTGGTGCTTGATTCATGTTATATTTTGACCAAAGCACAGAACAGATGTTTCATTTAGACCACAGGAGACTGTTTGCAAAGGAGGAGAAGGGGGATCATATGTTGTCTTTAATACAACGTGGACAAAATGAGGACTGAACATCAGCAGAACGAGGACAGACAAGAGAGCGTCGTTAGCACATCGCCAGAAAATGAATATGAATGAAGCAAATGTGGACTGAACGAGGACAGACAGAACATTAAGGGTGTTTTCACAATAAGCACAATTGTTTCATAACATGCCCGAGTAAGATTACTCCCCCCAGCCCTCTCCCCCGCTGGACTGCGTTCACATTAGTAACATCGTTCCATACCCGAGTACACTTGCCTCTCAGAACGGTGATCCACCTGGTTCATGTCGTTGGGAGACACGCGGAACTCGCTGATCCGGATCCGTTCGTCGAACCCGACCTCCACAGAGTAATACACGTACAGCTTCCCGTTGAATTTGTGCTTTGGGTGGAAGGTGAGTCCGAGGAATCCTCTCTCGTCTCCCTCCCAGGACGACGTCAGGACCGCCTTCGTGATGTTCATAAACGGTTTCTCCAGTCTGGACCGATCCGGCAGGTAAGTCCACACCAGGCCGACCTGCTCGGCCACAAAGAAGCGGTGCGTGCCGTCGTTGGCGTGCACCATGGCGAGGGGGTTCTTCAGCCCGTTGGCGACTTCCTCCAGACAGAGTTGAAGACAGCCATCAGAGTCGGACTGGACCCGGCCCAGGTTCTGGGTCAGTCTGTCGTTACTGAGGAGGTGAGGGTAGCAGTAGTCCGGATCGTCCAGCTCTAGGTGTCGACAGAGACGCATCTCGTCGTCTTTGAAACGAGAGACGACCGGGTCGTCAGAGATCAGGGGGAGGGTGGAGCTGCACTTCCTCCAGAACATGGAGCAGTAGTCCGGACAGAGTCCAGGGATTGTTCTGATCGGGGTGCTCGGGTCCTCGGCGTCGAACAGGTGAGCTGCAAATGGAGAACACTCCTTCACAAAAAAAAGGAGAAGTGTCAATAAAGACGAAAGACGGATGAGGAGTGATGAAAACAAGAGGGAGAGTAGGAGAGACAGAGGTCAGGAGAAGAGGAGGAGGGGAGTGATGAAGAAGAGACACAACCTCTTTATAGTTTGAAACATGAAACCTCCAAAAGTCTATAAATGATCTAAAACACTCTTGGAGTAAAGACCGGTGTACTTGTTGCCATGGTTACAGTGAAACTGGCAGTGAAGTGGTTAAAGACCTGAACAATCCTCACCTGCTTGTTTTCAAACAAATCTCCTTCACCTTCTTAATGATCAGATTGTGTGTGTGCGCGCGCGCGCGTGCGTGTGTGCGTGCATGCAGGGTCAGGTGTGGACCTTGGTCGACCTTTGCCCTCGTGCCTACCTGACAGAGCAGGTCCTGGACGTAGCTCGCGCAGGTCGCGTAGCCATGGTAGTCGAACTGATCCATGATGACGTAATACTTTCTCATCAGCTGCTGGTCTCTGTCGAAGTCACAGCAGCCGAAGTCTCGGTACATGACGCAAAACGTCAGCTCTTGGAGCGGTCTGAACGGAGGTTTGAAGTCCAGACACTGCGGGTGGGACCGAACCGGACCCGAACTCGTTACCAGGACCCCCAGGATCCACATCAGACCCGCGGCAGGAACAGAACCCCGCTCCATGATGGCGCTGATCAGGAGCAGCTTCCTGTCTGCACTTTGACTCCGATCATCGGTCTGTCCTCTGACGTGTGATTCGCTCTGCCCCCCTGCACCGAGTCCTCCGTGCACCGAGTCCTCGGAAGACTCGGACCGTGTGCGGTCAGGACTGAGCGCTGCAGACCGGTACCATCTGTCCGGATCAGCTGCTGACCCGGTTAATCTGCTGTCAGAGAGAGAGAGAGAGAGAGAGAGAGAGAGAGAGAGAGAGAGAGAGACAGAGACAGAGAGACAGAGAGAGAGGCTGCAGAGACAGACTGTGTGTGTGTGTGTGTGTGTGTGTGTAATGGTTCCCCTACTGTTTCTTCATAAACTCTGTTTTTCATTCAGTCTGATGGATTCCTTTCAGACAGCGCGGTGCATTGTGGGTATGCGGGCTCTTCAGTTATTGTAGTTTTTTGTATGAAACTGAAAACTTTTGCAACAAATCAATGTTGAGAAAACGTGTTTACTCCTACTGTCCGGCAGGTGGCGGCCTCAAAGTATTTGAGCCGCAGGATAGAACATAATAGGTTACCTGTAATAACTTGTTTTAGTCTCCATGGAGAGAGTGAGTTTTATATTCAAACTTTTATCGGTTTGTTTGTGTAACTTTGTGTGAACTTTAACTTTAAATTCAATAATTGTAAACTAAATAATGTGTCTTGTTGATGTAAAAACATAAATAATGACATCATAATAAAGTCAGACATTAATGTCTGTGATTCAATCAGCAGCACAGGCAGAGAAAACCTCAGTATTTTCAAAATAAGAGTCTTTTAGTTATTTCTCATGATAATTTAAATCAGTGTTTTAAAATTCAGGAGATGTAAACACACAAATCGATCCTCGCTGGAACCAGTCGGGCGTCAGTGCTGTCTGTGAGTTCATACTGGGTCTGAATGTGTCCCAGTATGAAACCAACCAATGAGGGGATCTTTAAGTTACCTGGCTTCACCTGACAGATGAGATCACACTGGACTGTCACGTGAAGCCTGACAAGTTCACTCAGTTTCCCTGAGCGTGTTCACATAAGAGGGGGGCGGAGTTAGCTTCTTTCATAACCTACCATGATCATTAAACAAGTTTGCTGTCAGCCAGTGGCGATTCTAGAGTCTGTTAGGGCCCTAGACAAAAATAATTTGGAGGACCCTCCAACCAGCCAACGCTTTCTCCTCTTCCTCTTTTTTTCTCTCCTGATGTCTAATTCCTCTTCAGTTGTCTTCAGTGACTTTCATTGAAAAACTTTTCACAGCAATAGAGTGAGTGCTGTCACATGGGGCCCCTCAAAGGAGGTTTCCTACTATCTTTTTGCACATTTTGCACACCCCTACTGGCCCCAAACCTGTTGACAAGCAGCGCCTCTGCTGTCAGCTGATTGTCATTTTAATGTCAAATGCAAACTGTAATAGAAAAGTTTGAAGAAGTTAAAGCTTATAATGAGTCTAAAATCAAACAGCTGCAGAGATCATAGTCCTACATAAGAACCCTAAAGTGAACTCAATAACTGAACATTCTCCTCAGGTGTGACTTTATCAGGTTTATTATTTTACAGTAAAAAAGAAAAAAAAGTAAACATTAAAATCACTGCTCATGTGTTCACATCAAGATCAATACAGACGGTTTCTGTTCAAACCAACATCTTCACCTCCTTTAAATTAAGATGTATGCCATTATAGAGCAGTTTAAAACCATAAGAAACAAAGTTAAAACAGGGTAATAACATTGTAAACCAGTTTAACAATAAAATAAACCTAATTCGAAACCATAATAAACCAGTTTAACTGACGTAAACTAGTTAAAGGTGCTGTTGGACACCAAATAAAACAGTTTCAACTAGACAATGAAATTACCTGTTTTAACCAACATAGCATTATAAACCAGTTTTTACCAATTTGAACCGGTCATATCATAATTAACCAGTTTGAACCAGTTTAAAACCATGAAATAACCAATTTCAACCAGTTTGGTACCATAATCAACCAGTTTAAAACACGTTTAAATCAGTTAGACACAATGAAATAACCTGTTTTAACCTGCGTAGCGTAATAAACCAGTTTGAACACTGTAATAAACCAGTTTGAACCAGTTTAAAACAACATAATAAAACACTTTTAATTCGTTTTTACCCCAATGGACCAGTTTCAACCAGTTCTAACCAGTTTAGTTCTATAGATTATGTGTGAAAACAGAAACCAGAGTGGACGGATTTAGAACTTTAAAAAGATGAGAAATGTTGATGTAAAAACAGATTTTATAGCAAACAGCTAAAACATAAACAATGGAGTTTATATTTAGAGACTGATTTACTGATTGGATACCGTAATTGATGCATGATGGGTTACTGATCTCTGATTAGACAATGGATCTCTGGATTTATGATTGACTATTGAATTACTAAATCTTGATTGGACTGTAATGTATTATTGATCTGAGATTGGATTATTGATCTGAGATTGGATTATTGATCCGTGATTGGATTATTGATCCGTGATTGGATATATCTGATCCGAGGTCAATGTTACTTGTTGAGTCCTCATGGTTCTCATCTCATCCAGGTCCTGTGGTTCTGTCCACCGGGTGGCAGCATCCCGGGTGGCATAGGAGGGGGCAGCTGATGTTGTCCCGTGTTAGGAGGAGGGTGGTACACCCCGCTCAGACTAGGAGGTAGCCCCATGACGGAGGGGGGCGGACCCAGCAGGTAGCTGTAGACTGACAGAGGAGGGGCGTTGTAGGTGGTGGTGCCCGGGGGGTAGTGGTGATAGTTCATGGGTGGTGCACAGGCCTGAGGTATTGAGGTGTTCATCATGGACTGGATGGTCTGGTAACCCTCACTGGACAGCAGAGAGCTGGAGGGAGGGGGCAGGTCTTTAGGAGGGGGAGGGGGCGGAGGGGGGCAGTGGGGTAAAGGAGGGGGTGGTGGCTTAGAGGGTGGCTCAGGGGCTGGAGGGTAGGAGGAGGGGGGTTTAAGATCTGTCAGAGAGAAAAAGGGAGGTCACTCAAACACGAGAAAGAGAGAGAAATAACTTTAGCTCTGAGTCAGTTACTATGGTAACCGAGTCTGTGAACCTAACCTGGTCGGGGAGCAGGTTTTCTTCAATGAACCCCAAGTTTATTCCCCGTCTCTGCCCACTTTCAGAGCCAACTGTTTCATTTCCTCATTCTTTCATGCAGTTTGTATCACAAGTGTGTTAGTGAAAATTCACCGTCGTTTTAATATTATCTGGGAGGCATACAATAATACGTCTGATTAATTAGCCCATTGAATAAATAGAGTAGCCTCCATTCAAGCTAACATGCTGACTCGAACAGCAGCCCTTTGGTTCTGCAGCAGCGTTACTTTCATTTCTCTAAAAAACCTGTTCATATTCACCGTATGTCTGCATGAAGATGTACAGTTCAAGAGTGGAAAAGTGTGAGGAGCTCCATTTTTTGTTACCTGTTGCCATGGTGATAGTAGTATCACGGTTCTATTAATGTTGGCTTTTTATAGTCGTGGTGTAGGCGCTGAACTCTGAGTGAACCGACTCAAATCAGCTGCTCTGGAACCGTTAACTCAGAGTTTGCCACCTTAGAGCTCAGAGTCGGACCGAGAGTTTGTGAAACGTGAGGAGACACTCACCTGTGTTCATAGATACAGGAGGAGGAGGTGGAGGTGGAGGAGGCGGAGGCGGCAGCTCTGGATTAGTGAGCTCTGTAAAACAAAAGCCCTGTATTGAAATGTGTGTGTTTGGAGATCACAGACATGTTCTTGTGAAGTCTTCAGTGTGTTCCTATGTTTGTTATGTTGAGCAGAATGTTGAACTCACTGATGACTTTGTTGTCTTCTTTGGGAGACGGCTGAAAATTAAACACAAATAATAACATTCAGAATTTAAACTATGTAATACATAAACTACAGAGACTCTATATGAGACACATAATAACAGGGACATGACTGTATCTAACATATATAATGGTCATATCCTGTTTGCATGTCTGAACCCAAACGGCCAAATTATTCACTCTGACTCGAACTTTCTCCTGCCAGCTCACACTGGCAATCTGTCCCGTGCCTAAGCACACTTCACTCCTAAGTCTTAAGACGTAATGACGACTGAGCTTGGTTACGGCGCTGGTGCAGAGTTGTACTGTGAAAAAGGAAACAGTCAACCCAGCTGTGGGTGAAAGAGAGGTCGGCTCACCTGTGCTGCACGGGGGGGTCGAGGGCTGGTCTGAGGGGAAGTCTTCTTGGTGGGGGGAGGGACTGGGGGGGACAGGATGGAGGGGGGGAGGGGGGTGTCTCCAGCACTCATCCCTCCATCAGGAATCTGCTGCTTGGCCTGAGAGTACAAATCAAGGATCTGATGGCAGATATCTGAACGGAGGAGGAGAAGGGAGAGTTAGGTCAATTTAGATTCTGCTGTATGATATCAAATCAGATTAATAATCAGGGCTCGGCTGTTCATAAGGTTTCATTTACACTTTTACACGACACAAACTGGAGGTGTTCTCTAGATAGAAAACAGGAACCTGATCTTAATTGTTTCTTCCTATCCGATAGCTTTAACCCTGTTGGATTTGTTTCGAACAACCGGGGCCGCGCTGCATGATCAGGGTCGGGGTTGTTCTGATACCTTCTAGAACCTCCACAGGTACGTCGTGGACAAACTGCTCCCACCAGCGGCGGTTCGTCTGTTTGGAGGTCCATTCCTGGAGGTCGAATTTAGAGAGACGACCTGCCAGGTACATGACGGCTACAGCGATAATCTGAGGCTCCCACTGCAGGGCCACCATGGTGTACAGACTGTAAGAGATTACTTCCATTATTATTATTGTGGTTTTTCGCTGTAGGGAGGTAAATCTGCTGGATACTGTCACCAATCCTTAAATCATATTTCAGACATAGTCACAGGTCTCATCCCAGGTGTGTATTCTCACCTGTCATTGACGAAGGTCCAGGCCATCTGAACCAGTTTCTGCACCTTGTTCTTATCACCTGTGAGACAGAAAATGTTTCAGGGTTGGCTCAGTGCTCTGAAGCTCTGGTATGGATTAATACTGATAGAAATGTAGGAACCTTTGAGCTGCTTGGCATAGCGCAGCAGGAACTGGTATGGATGCTCCACCTGCAGGTCAAACTTGATGGTCTGCAGCAGAATGCGCTCCAACACCATCACCTCCTCCTGTGACACACACACACACTCTACATTTACAACCCCAAATTCTAGAAAGGTTTTCTCCAGCAACATGGACAGCACAGACAGCACAAGTCAAACTCTGATACAGACCTTTGGATCGTCTCCAAACTGAGCGAACTGGACATCGTTGAGCAAACCGCGAGCCGTCTTTATGATGTCTTTGCACTTCTTTGGAGTCTCCTCCACTTTACCTGCCAGGAAGAGGCAGCATCCTCCTGTTACCTGCAGACACAGCTCAGGATTTAAAATGACAACAACCTCCAGACACAGCTCAGGGTTTAAAATGACAACAACCTGCAGACACAGCTCAGGGTTTAAAATGACAACAACCTGCAGACACAGCTCAGGGTTTAAAATGACACAACCTGCAGACACAGCTCAGGGTTTAAAATGACAACAACCTGCAGACACAGCTCAGGGTTTAAAATGACAACAACCTCCAGACACAGCTCAGGGTTTAAAATGACAACCTGCAGACACAGCTCAGGGTTTAAAATGACAACCTGCAGACACAGCTCAGGGTTTAAGACAACAACCTGCAGACACATCTCAAGGTTAAACACATCTGCAGACACAGCTCAGGTTAAACACATGACCTGCAGACACAGCTCAGGGTTAAACACATGACCTGCAGACACAGCTCAGGGTTAAACACATGACCTGCAGACACAGCTCAGGGTTAAACACATGACCTGCAGACACAGCTCAGGGTTAAACACATGACCTGCAGACACAGCTCAGGGTTAAACACATGACCTGCAGACACAGCTCAGGGTTAAACACATGACCTGCAGACACAGCTCAGGGTTTAAAAGCCAACAACCTGCAGACACAGCTCAGGGTTCCATGCAGGTTTTTAAGATACATGAATGCAACTTTAAGCCAAAGGAAATTTCAGTTTCAATTTCAGCCAAAGGAAGTGTCAGTATTTGCCAATCTATGAATTCAACTCCATGCTCTCACTTTTGTTCTTGGTTCTTCTTAGTTTAAAAATATGACTGAAAATCTGTATGTTCTTATCTAAGTGAGACACACACAAGAGATCTTCATACTCACATATCTGGGGAACTGTTTGAAGGAGTGAAACATGTAGAAACGATGGAAGTAAACGATGCCTGTAGCCAGAGTGTCATAGTGTCTGCAGCCGCTCAGGTTAAGATCAATGACATGAGAGGTGAACAGGGTTGTTCACCATAGCAACATGTTAAACTTTGATTTGATAGTTAAAATATAATGATATCAACAACAAAACTAGAAGTCCTGGAGGGAACACAATGTGGTGTCATTTCTTACCCTATGATACCTCACCTTCACCTGTGTTCACCTTCACCTGTGTTCACCTTCACCTGTCAGTGTGTGCAAACCTTTCACGATATAAGCATTATATTATAACTAAATCTTAACTTAATTATATATATTTTGTATTTAAATCATTATATTAAAAATCTTTAAGGATACAGGCCGAGTCTAGTCCCCGCGTCGAAGATGAACCGGGCCCCCTCTCGGCGGTACCGGGCCTCGGTGGCGGGATCCAGACCCTCAGCCTGGGACGGAGTGTGGACCAGGTCCTTCTTGTCCCAGTACCAGCATGGTTTGATGTGGTCCAGGCCGGCCGGGTCCTTCCGGTCCCAGTACAGTAGGGGTCTGAGGAGCTCCAGGGTGTCCGGCACCGGTTCGTCCTGCGGGGGAGCAGGACCTGAAGCTAGAGGAGGATTCTGTAGTTCCGGCTTTAGGAAAACTACATTTACTTGCACCGACCAGCGATGCTAGCAGCTAACGTTGCTGATATACATAGAAAGTAAAGGTAAATAAAAACAGTTCGTTTAAATGATATGCTCCCACATGAAGCTGGAAGTATTGAACGTAATTTAAAACTGATTATTCTGAACTATTAAGACTTAAACATCCTGTAGTCACGCTGCTAGCTGTTCTCTCCACATTCATCCAAACAAAGAGCACCAAACACCGCCGCACACACATCGCATGATTGACTTTTACCTCATCCAATCACTGACGAGCGAACATTACCATATATGGTACTATTAAGCGTTCTAAAAGTAAATGTCCAATCACAAGCCGCGCGGGGATGGCTTGCTGTTTATGCTACATTCACGTGGTGTCGGATACTTCGGAAAAACGAAAGGTGTTTAGTTGTAAAATGCACAGAATCGTCTTCACGAGGGGCAAAATATGTTTTGTCAATGTTGACATACTTTTTATTAATACACGTATTGCACATAAACTTTTTGCTCAAATATATCTTTTAATAGAGACATTCACACGTTTTCTTCTTCTTAGCATCAACGCTGTTTGTTACTGTTGATACAACATTTAGACTTTAACTGAAATGACGTGAACACACTGATGTCGGAAGAACGACTTCCCAACTCGGAAACTTGGACCATCCGAGCAGCACCCGAATGCACCATTAACGCCATGCTCTTTGGGCGTGCTGCCCAGTAACCAATCAGAACGCAGGAATCCAGCACTTTGAATGTGGGTGTATCTCCTTTTGTCGTCCAATCAGAGGCCGTGCTGAGTCACGGTAGGTTTCAGCGTAGAAACAGAGAAGTGCTTCTGTCACTTATTAAGGTAAGTGTATTAAAACGGAGAAAAACGGGTTTATTATTCACTTTTAAAAAGTTCTCACCTGCTGAGTACTGTTATTCTGTGCTGATGTGCGCATGCGCTGTACACGCGGGTTCATGCTAGTAGCTAGTGAGCTAATTCAGCAGATTAGCTCCCTGATCCTTTACCACCTGACAGCTTAGCAGCTAGCAGCTAGCAGCTAACACCTAGCATGGGATCGTTCAGTGGAGATGAATGAGCTGGAGGGGCGTGTATCCTCACTGCTAGGAAGCTAATGCTAGCTGCTGGCCTACTGGGACAGGTGCTGGTCACACGGGAGGCTAACTGGGAGCACTGGTTGTTGGTTAGCATGTATCCAGGGTACCTATATTTAACCCTACAAAAAAACAAAACAACAAAACCTGAGTGATTGTAGAGTTCAGAGGGATAACACCCTGACTGACTGGACGTGTGTGATAAACTCACTGTAATTTACCTGTGGACAGGTGAAGGAAGAATGTTCCTGCAGGTCCAATCCTGAAGATTGACCTGTGTTTACTGTGGTCACTCAGGTGTGTCAGCTTCAGGAACACACAGTCAGATCCACTGCTGCTTCACACAGTGATAGATAATCATGTAAATATGGTCGACACATCACAGTGAAGCAGAGAAAGTTCTAACTCGGAGTGCAGTAAGTCATAATGTGATGAGAACAGAGCATGCAGACATCATCTGTTTAGTTTTCATCACTTCTTAATGCTGATGTGTCTGTATGGGGCAGTAGTAGCTCAGTCTGCAGGGACTTGGGTTGTGGATCCGGGGCGTCGCCGGTGCAGAAATTGGTCTGATAGCTAGAGAGGGCAAGTTCACTTCCTGAGCACTGCCGAGGTGCCCTTAAGCAAGGCACCGACCCTCACCGCCAGCTTACCCTTGCAGCCGCATCACTCTGACATCTCCACAGGATCCTGTGTGTGCATACATGATTCAGAGTGAGCTATAAAGCAACTTGTTTTAAAATATAGTGTGAGTATGGGACAAAAATGTTCAACTTCTGCAGTCAGCAAGCTCATCAACATCTTAACTGTAATAATTGTACAATTCAGCAGACGCTTTTATCCAAAGCGGCATAAATCAGAGAATAAGAACAAGACAAGCGAGGATCCAGAGAGGAGGAGACAACATCAGGAAGTGCAAACAAACAGCTTTAAGTCTGATTGGACACACAGGTGCTGACAGGAAGTGACACGAGGCAGAGCACAACATTGACAGCTGTTCTTAAGAGTTCTAATCAGCATCAAAACCATCCTAAATATATCATCATCTTCATCATCATTAAGTGTGTAGGTGTTCATGAAAGACATCAAAAGGATAGGATATGTAGTCAGTGTGCTCGTGTCAAAGATGAAAACTGAGGACACTCATCATTTTATTTTAGTTAGTTTTTTAAGCACACAATACCTTGTTTTTATTTTAGTTTCAGTTAACGAAAATGTTTTTTTTTTTGATTGCATTAATGAGTATGAACCCTTAGAGGGGCCGATAAACCTGACAGCTTAGTGTTTAATACATCTTTATTTATCTTACTGTGTTGAATGTGCTCACAGGGCCGGTACTTATCCTCTGTTAGCTCGTTGTTGTTCCTCTCCTCAGTCTCAGTATGAGAACGTTTCAGGACATTTATGTTCAATGTTTTTAGAGCACAGCTGCTGCTGAGTGTCACCGAGCAGCTGTGACACACACACACACACACACACACACACACACACACACACACACACACACACACACACACACACACACACACACACACACACTGTGTGTGTGTGTGTGTGTCAGCTGCTGCTGCAAAGGAAGCAGGGATTCATATTATCTGTGTTAAGTCCTGAAGGAGATTGAACTGTTGGTGTGAAGTGAACGTTGATACTTGGTCTATTTAAAGGTGTCTCTGTGTGTGTGTGTGTGTGTGTGTGTGTGTGTGTGTGTGTGTCTCTGTGTGTGTGTGTGTATCGGTGTGAAGCCTCAGGCCTAACACTCAGACTTACTCTGCATAATGAACCCTGAGGCTGCTGTGAGCTACCAGATCAGACCTTAAACTGTGATAATGAAGGTTAGACTTTAAACTGGGATAATACCGGTGTAGGTACCACAGTGTTTCCCCTACCATTATATTAGGTGGGGCGCCTTCACCTGCGTTTGTATGATGATGTAGAACATTGTGACTGGCTGTCAGAGAGTCGGAGCGAGAGATCAATGTCTCCTTATGAAAGAGCAAGAACTCAAACACACGGCGTCCAAACTGCATTAAATGTTACACGGTTGATCATTGACTCTGGTTGATCAGAGTCAATATCTGAACATATTTACATTCCAATATTCAATGTTTGTAATGACTATCACTTTAAACAGTGGTGACGTGGAAAATAGCCGATCAGTGGTGGTCTTGATTTAAAATCTGGAGACCTCCCAATCTGAGACCGAGACAAGACCGAGTAAAAATGCTTTCGGTTCAGAGACAAACCGAGACCTATATTCTCAGATGACATGATACCAAACTCATGTTTAATGTTAATAAATCAACAGATGTTTATGTGACAAAGTGTCCAGATTCATCTATTAACAGTACACTGATTTGTTTTCCAGCTTGTTGACAAAGAGCATCATGGGTAAAAAGAGTCGAGTCAAGACTCAGAAGTCTGGTTCAGGAGGAGCCAGCGCCGCCGTTTCTCCTAAAGAGATGATGAACCTGATCTCTGAGCTGCTGCAGAGTACGTACACCTGTCCCCTCACACCTGAACCTGTGTATCTAAAGAAGATTCATGCAGTATTCAGGTATTTGTTCATGTTGATTTAAAGTGCTACAGGTGTTTATGGTCTGCGTGTGTTTCCCAGAATGCAGCAGTGCAGCCTCCTCTGGTAAAGAGTGGGAGGAGTATGTCCAGATCCGAGGCCTGGTGGAGAAAATCCGCAAGAAACAGAAAGGTGAGAACAAGAAACTACTGAAGTGTTTAGATGAAAAGAGTATTTCTCTGAGCCGGTTCTTCTTATTATTATTGTGATAATTATTATTATAAATATGTTGTTCAGGCCTGTCGGTGGTGTTCGACGGCAGCAGAGAGGAGTATTTCTCAGACCTGATGGCGTGGGCTCAGGAGAACGGAGGACCCTCTGAAGGATTCTGTGTCTCAGACTTTGGATCAGAGGGGTACGGACTGAAGGCCACCAGAGACATCAAGGTCAGAGCAGTGATTTAAACCCTAACGTTCATCCATCTACAGAAACAAACAGGTCCACCCACCCAACCGAACTTAGCATGCACAGGGGGAACATGCAAACTCAAGTATGGAAAGTGTTCCAGTAGAGGATCTAACCTCAACACCATGCAGCCCCTTAATGTCCAGTTAAAATGCAAAGTTAACAAATGGTTAAAGCTGTAGTGCTCAGGTCTCTGTGGTGGCTCTTGGCTGCAGACTGTAACCTACACTGGGCTCATTAAATACCTAAATTGTCTAATACTTTTTTTCTGTGTGTGTGTTTAGGCAGAGGAGCTGTTCCTGTGGGTTCCCAGGAAGATGCTGATGACGGTGGAGTCTGCTCAGAACTCTGTGCTGGGTAAGAACATGTGATGAAGAGGAACGTTGGGATCTGTAGGGGAAATAGAGAAACAACCTAAAAATCATCAATGGTCATACTATCTGACATACTGTGACATGGTCTGAAGATATAAACATTAAACTTGATCAGACTGTCAGACAGATCCTCATCCTCAGTCCTCAACGAACCTGGAGCATATACAAACTAACTCCTTTTCCTCTTCCTCCCCATCTCCTCTTCTCTCCCTGTTTCCTCTTCCTCTCTCTTTTCCACTTTCTCTGTCCCTGTCTCCTCCTTTTCCCTTCATGTCTTCTTCATCCTCTCTCGCCTCCTCCTACCTCCCTCCTGTCTCCTCCGTTTCCCTCTGTATCTTCTTCATCCTTCTCGTCTCCTTCTTCCTCCCTGTCTCCTCCTTTTCCCTCTGTGTCTTCCTCATCCTGCCTCGTCTCCTCCTCCTTCCTCCCTGTCTCCTCCTTTTCCCTCTGTGTCTTCTTCATCGTCCCTTGTCTCCTCCTCCCGGTTCCCTCCCTGTCTCCTCCTCTTCCCTCGGAATCTTCCTCATCCTCCTTCATCTTCTCCCTCGTTTCTTCCTCCCGGTTCCCTCCCTGTCTCCTCCTCTTCCCTCGGAATCTTCCTCATCCTCCTTCATCTTCTCCCTCGTTTCTTCCTCCCGGTTCCCTCCCTGTCTCCTCCTCTTCCCTCGGAATCTTCCTCATCCTCCTTCATCTTCTCCCTCGTTTCCTCCTCCCGGTTCCTTCCCTGTCTCCTCCTTGTCCCCTCAGGTCCTCTGCACAGTCAGGACAGGATCCTGCAGGCGATGGAGAACGTGACGTTGGCGTTCCACCTGCTGTGCGAGCGCGCTGACCCGTCTTCACCGTGGATGCCGTACATCCACAGTCTCCCTCAGGAGTACGACACACCGCTCTACTTTCAGCAGGAGGAGGTGCAGCTGCTGCTGGGAACTCAGGCCATCCAGGACGTCTTGAGCCAGTACAAGAACACCGCGAGACAATATGCGTACTTCTACAAACTGCTGCAGGTACGAACACACAAACAGTCGTGATGTCATACATGAGCCAGTTCCTCCTCTGCTCTGATAAGCTGGTGCTGCCTCACCCGTCTGCTAACAAGGTGAAGCTGTAAGAACATTATCCTTCTCCTCTGTGCCTGTAGTACTGCACTATGTCCAGCAGGGTGCAGCATTAAGTCAGACAGAGATGTTGGAATGATCCTGGTTTAGTTTGTGAAGAAGAGATCTGAGGTTTATTTAGGCTGAGGCTGATGGTCACTGATACTTAATTAATAAACTTTCGACCCTTTAAACACTCTGTTTGATAAAGTCATAAAACGATGTATCACAGCGATGCTCTGACTTTAATTATAAACTTCATGATTAATAAATGAACACATCCCAGTGATTCACATTCATATCAGCTCCGTGTTAATTAGTGAACTTGAAACGATCACAGACTGCCTCAGTGTAATGACACAGATAATGATGAAATGTGTCACAGACGGTCGATAGTAAGAATTATAATCTCATAATCTGCGGATATGATAATGAGTCAGTGTTGATGTCGAGCAGAGACGGGTAGCTTTGATCTCGCTCTGTAACATCACACACGCTCTGACAGAAACTGTATTTAGTTTGAGTTACATGATGTACAGCAGACTGTGTGACGACCTGCAGGGGAGGCTGATTCATTGATTGCAGGGTTTCAGGTAGAGTTATAGTACTCTATAAAACTTGTCTTGTCTCGGTCTCTCCTGGCCTTGGTCTCGGTTTTGATCCCTAAATGTCTTGGTCTTGTTTCAGTCTCGGAGCACTCTGGTCTCAGGTATGTCTTGGTTTCAGGTTCAGGTGTATTTATGAATAGAACTGTATGGCTGTTTTAGATCCGCTGCTACACTAGTCTTACATACTGATTCGGCCAAAATGCAGTTTACTTCCTCATTCAAAGACCAGAAACCAGTTTAGCTAGGCCGGGTATACTGCAACAAAGCAAACGACTGGAGGTCAGACTACAGACTACTGTTGAATGCAGGGCATACAGCGTGATGCGCTCGATGGTAGCATGCAGTATGTAAGTACTGAGCCGGAGGGTTAGTGAGATGAAGCTCTGTGTAAATGGCTGAATATTTAAGGTCATTACTTTTTTTTTTTTTTTTTTTTTTTTTTTACAGATTTAAATAATTAAATGTTTAAAATTCTTCAATGGAGAAACGCTTTTGTCCCTTCTCTAGCTGTTATTTTTTACAGTGTACTTCCATTGCAGTCCACTAGGTGGCAGTGTTGTAATCTAAATGACCTGATGTCAGTGAGGGGGGGAGGAATAAAAATATAATAAGTAAGTCTTAACGGTCGAATGAAGATTATCAGATTATTGTTCATATCTAAACGTGAATGGAGAACGAAGATTTTATCAAAAGGTCCAGGAAGCCGAGTTTGATAACGACCATACTCGGGTTAAAAGACTATTTATCACACACACTCACACACACACACACACAACGTCCTCCTCCTGTAGCTCCTGCCCCCCCTGTTCAGATGACCGGGCTGTCACATTGGGTTTAAATTGAACTGACCTGAATGTACCTTCATCACTGTCTACCCCCTCCTGTGCGTGTGTGTGTGTGATCAGACTCACAGATATATGCTGACGTTCACACAGAACACAGAGAGACACACAGTTTTTCCACATGTAGTGAAATCATAATAATCTGTTTTTTGATGTTATAATTCATTGTAATCTTTTCTTCAAAAGATGAACAAGAAACATTCAGTTTTTGGAATGCTTTTAGGGCCTTCATTGCAGAGATAGGACAAGTAGATAGAGCCAGAAATCTGGGAAAGAGAGAGAGTGGGGAATGAGCCACGGCTCATATTTTGAACCCAGGCTGCCCGCTTGAGAGACTATAGCCTCCGTACAGTAGTGCAGGGACGCACTAACCACTAGGCTATGTTATGAGGAGCTCTCCAGTTAATGTTTCAGGTGCTGTGTATGTGGTGATGAGTGGTCACTGTGTTCAATCTGATGGGTATGATCCTTTGTGTTCACCTGTACGGATTAATCAGTGACACGCGCACGCACAGTGAAACCCGGTCTGATCTGTGTTCCTCCACCTCTGCAGACTCATCCTGCTGCCAGCAAACTGCCTCTGAAGGACAGCTTCACCTTTGATGACTACAGGTCAGTGTGTGTACGTGTGTTTAGGTGTGGTCAAAAAAAACAGATAATAACTGACTGAATGACAGCGTCGGTGTAGACTTCACATTTTTACAAGCAGGGGACACTCGGACTGTACATGCACATGCGGCTTCCAGAGGGAGTAGGCAGGCTAGAGCAGTTTAAATAAGGCGGCAAAAGTACTGTTTGGCCAATAGGATGCTTTGAAGCAAATCAGCTGATGAGGCTCGCTAGAGATCAGCTGTTGCCGAAAAATGATAGTAGAGCGTGACTCCCTGAACTAACATCCATTTCTGGTTTGCAACAAAACCAACAACAACACAAAAGTGGCAGTATGACGACGTGCATCAGGTCACATGACTGACATCACACGCCATGTGATGTGATGTTACGCATGTGCACATCCCAATTATGATGGTAATTAAAAAAACCTAACTGCCCTAGTTGAGATTATCGGGATGTTGCATCACAAATGGTCAAACCAAACTCCATCAAAACAAACATTTTAAAGTGGTTTTCTTATCACCACATCATGAATTCAGACTTTTTTTTACGAATTACCAACATGATGTAGTAACTTCAGCATCCTTTTAACCGCATCCTAAAATCTGTTAATCCTGAAATGTGATTGGTTGATTGTGACAGGTGGGCGGTGTCCTCCGTGATGACCCGTCAGAACCAGATCCCGACTGAGGATGGCGGCAGGCTCATTCTGGCCCTGATCCCCCTCTGGGACATGTGCAACCACACCAACGGACTGGTACACACACCAAGTGAAATCCATGATATAAAACAGATGTAACTCTAAAACAGAACGATTAATGTATAGATGTGTCTTTAAACAGATCACTACGGGATATAACCTGGAGGACGATCGCTGCGAGTGTGTCGCTCTGCAGGACTACAAGGAGAACGAACAGGTGAACACACACGCACACGCACACACACACACACGCACACATCCCTGTCTGTGGTTCAAAGGGTTAAACTGGTTATTCTCCCTCTGCAGATCTACATCTTCTACGGCACGAGATCGAACGCAGAGTTTGTGATCCACAACGGGTTCTTCTTCCAGGATAACGCTCACGACAGAGTGAAGATCAAACTGGGCGTGAGCAAGAGCGAGCGCTTGTTCGCCATGAAGGCCGAGGTGCTCTCCAGAGCAGGGATACCTGCGTACGTATAAATTAGGGACATCTGCTGTCTCAGCCAAACATTTAATCTAGTAACAGGCAAAGAGGTGCAGCTGAAGCCGGTCTTGAAAAGGCCGGCCACCTGAAAACAACCACAGCCCGCTTGCTTGCAGTCAAATATGTCACACACCTAACTATGACTAAATCTTATCCTTCATTTAATCAAAAGGGATGAGCCCCCCCCCCTTTTCAGACTGTATTTGTCTTTTAGTTCCAGGCAGAAAACGTTTTAATTCTGCTTTAAAATTTGTTGTTTTAGCATGAGTGTGTTTGGGACTTGTGGTTCTTTTAGAGCCAGCCTCAAGTGGACACTTAAGGAACTGCAGTTTGAATGCTGCTTGTGTTTAAGCTGAGGTTTAAAAGTGTGATCTGCAGGACAATCTGTGTTCCTCTCACCCTCTGCTGTGAGCAGCCCTTCACTCTTAATTAAACTGTTTAAATTTTGCACCCCCCCCCCCATATCATTTACCCTCCAATACTTTCATCATTAACCAGTTTAATCTCTTCATCATCAGCCTGTTAATTCATTTAAATGTGACTCCTCTAATCTGTTAGTGGTGACGCTCCGACTGCACAGAGAGATGAAACAGTCCTGATGTTTCTGTCACAGAGAGAGAGACAGATCTGATCACAAGTCAGCTTCAAAGCAAACACTTTACAGACCGCGGTGACGACATGATCAGCTGCATAGACTGAGAGAGGAAGTCTGTGATTAACAGCATTGTATACAGAGAGAGAGAAGGAGGAGAGGACACAGACAGATAAACTGATCAGAGACATGTCAGGGAATCAGCTGTTTCTAGAACTACAAGGTCACACAGCATCAGGTGGAGCATTCCTTTAAAGTCTGTCGAACAGACAGTTATAGGTCAATATGAGCAGCAGGGCAGGTACAGGTGGAGAGAGAGAACAGGTGGAAAAGGTTCAGGTGGGGAGGGTACAAGTGAAGCGAGTACTTTTAGAGAAAGAAGAGAGAAGAAGTGGAGAAGCTACAGGTGGGGAGAACAGAAGTTCATGAATACTGTGCTGTGTGTGTGTTTTTCAGGTCTTCTACTTTTGCTCTACACTGTAATGAACCTCCGATCTCTGCTCAGCTGCTCGCCTTTCTCCGAGTCTTCTGTATGACCGAGGGTGAGACACACATACGATAGTTTCAGACCTTTTTAGTGTCAAAGATATTTTTTTGTGTGTTTTACTGAATCGTGTGTGTCGTCCAGTTGTGTTTGTCACATCTGTCTAGCTTTAATGATTCCACTAAATGTATGAGTATTAGTAGCCCCTGCAGACCTGGACTCTGACAGGACAGGGTCTGTCTGTCACTGGTTCTGGCCTCTGGTCTGGTTTTGCAGCAGCTCTGGAGAAGATCATACGTAGACTAATATGTTTTTCATTTCTAATTGAGGACGAACTTCACACACTGCTAACATTTAAGGTGTTGCACAAACTCAGATAATCCAATGGGGTCAGATATTATCTGTAGACCTAGTAAGTGTCAGGGTCGTCTTGTCCTGGTTTTGAAAGGCGGGGTCACCTTAAAAGAGGAGGAGGAGGAGGAGGTGCAGAGGGTTTCAGTGGCTCGAGTTCATCCCTCAGAAATGTAATGAACCTTACGTCTCCCAAGCTACGAGCTAAAGCTAACTAGTTTACACATAGGGTTCAGTGTGGAACTTAAACAGAGCTGCTGCAACGGGCCACTGATCCCCGTGAGGAGGATCTCATCATGGTTCTGGTTTCAGAGGAGCTGAAGGACTACCTGCTGGGGGAGGGGGCCGTCGGTAAGATCTTCACTCTCGGAAACAGCGAGTTCCCCGTCAGCTGGGACAACGAGATCAAACTGTGGACTTTCCTCGAGACGAGAGCCGCTCTGCTGCTCAAGACCTACAAGACCACATCAGAGGTACGTCAGCCCAGGTCCACACACAATCTACAGAATACAACAACACAGGAACAATAATGATATAGATGTCAGGGGTCAATTATTCCTGCAAGGACAGGAATCTTTAACTTAGATTTCATGTTTTCTTGGTGATATTTCTTTGAGTAAAGAAAAATATTAAGCAAACAAAGCAATTAAAACTGGCCTGTCACTGCCGAGGGATGCAGAAGTTGAATTTTGTAACCTAGCAACAATAAGTGGGGATGAGAAGCACTCTGAAACCGAGGTCATGGGCGCAGACAGCGCAACAAAACGACGTCATTGTTGATTCTGAAAAGTTAAAGATGAAGGACAATATATCAAAGGTCTAACAAGTTACGAGGAATCTGACATGGAGAATTTAAATGATTTGTTTTTAACTTCTTCTTTTCTCTCTCCCCCGTCCGTCTCCATTTTGGCTCAGGAGGACCGCTCCCTTCTGGAGAAGCCGGATTTGTCGCTGCACTCTCGCCTGGCAATCCAGCTGCGTCTGGCAGAGAAGCAGATCCTGGAGAGGGCGCTGGCCAGCGGACGAGCTAAACGTCTTCACTTTGAGAAGAAGCTGGAGGAGGACGCTCCTCTGCCTCGCTACGAGGAGAGCGACATCGCTCTGCTGGAGAACTCCCAGTCAAAGCTCCCCATCATCCTGCGTCAGCTGGAGGAGGTGGAGGAGGGGCAGGAGGTTCCCGAGGAGGAGGAGGAGGAGGAGCACAGCCTCCTGCTGAACGGGCAGAAGGAGGCGTACGGCGTGAAGGAGGAGGCGAACGGAGAGGAGACGCAGGAGGAGGTCAGAGGAGACGTAGATCTGGACTCTATGGAGAAAGGTCAAAGGGAGTCGGTGGAGCTGACAGCAAGCCGGACTGAAGACAAGACTGAGGAGTGATGGTTACCATGACAACGACATTTATTTATATTTGTCTTTGGAAGACTGAGAAATACAAAAACTACAATTATGGACTTTACTGTGTTCATCAGCGCTGACAGATAGATCGTATAAATAAATAAAAATAATGTTTGTTCAGTTCAAGACGTAGATTTACATCCGAACATTTCAAAACAAAAAACAAAAAAATCAAAGTGATGAATTATTTTATTATCGTTCACACAGACACGATGTGTCTGCTGCTTGTCTTCATACGTGTCCTCTGTGTGTCTGAGACAATCGTGAGCTGACCTCAAACAGCTCTGCTCTGTAAACAAAAACAAAAAACTAAAGGAAGCGGCAAATGCTTGTGTTAGCTACGGATTGGTTTAGGCAGGTGGAGCCCACACGCTCCTGTTAGAGCTCTGCATTTATAACGACGGAGCTCAGACACTCCTGTTAGAGCTCTACATGTCAAATGGTGGAGCTCACACAGTTTTTGCAAGAGTTCTACATTAAAAGGGATAACGTTAAGACTCTGATTCAAGAGCTCTAAATGTTAAAAGGTCTCAGCTCTGGTCAGACACTCGTGTTAGAGCTCACTAATTTGAAGGAATGCCGCTAATTTAGTTGTCACATTTTTAAAGGTAGCGCTTCAGACACTTGTTTTAGAGCTCCTCATTTAAACAGGTGGAGCTCAGACCCTCATCTTAAAGCTGAAAAAAAGGTAGAGCTTAGATGTTTCTGTTAAAGCTTTAATTTCTTAACGTTGAGCTCGGACACTCATGTTAGAGCCCTGGGTTTAAAAAGGTGGAGCTCAGACACTCATGTTAGAGCTCTACACTGTGTGTGGTGGTGCCCAGACACTCGTCTTAGAACAAAGCATTTTAAGGGGCAGCGCTAAGACTCATTTTAGAGCTCAAGCTCAGATGCTCATGTTAAAGCTCTGCATGTAAAAAGGTGGCGCTCACACGCTTTAACATTTGAAAAGGTGCTGAAAAAGAGCTCTACAATGTTCAGTGGGGGTCAATAAGACACTTGTTTTAGAGCTCTACAGTTAAATGGGAGTAACCCAGACCCTCGTCTGAAAGCTTAACATTGTAAAAGGCTCAGATGTTTCTGTTCGAGCACAACATTTAAAGGGTTAGTGCTGAGACTCATTTAAGAGCTCTAAATTTAAAAAGTTGGCGCTCAGACGCTGATGTGAGTCCCTTGGTTTCCACAGGTGGAGCCAAAATTTGATGATTGAGACGTTTGAAGCTTCCTTTGATTTACAAACAGTTTGATTTGGTGTCTTAATGAATGTAGTGAGTTTGTGTCAGTGAAACTCGCTGATGTTGGAGCCATATGTAAACACTGAAGAGGACAACGATGAAGATTTCTGTTTGAATGAATCGTCTATAAAAACACAGAGGGACAGTGAACGCAGCACATGGGAAAAGTCAGATTTAAACACAAGTAGGAACATTAAATCTTACTGTCAACATAATGTGGATACTTCCAGATTTAACCCGTCGCCTTCCCTCATTATGTCACTTTGTGTTTTATAACAGGACGCTGTAGAAACTTTGTTTTACCCTGATGGACGACGCTTTGGACGAATGAATTCTTAAAGCTCTCGGACTGTCTCTGTGAATCTGTTCTTCTTTCAGCAGCTGAACTCTTTCTGTGTCACCTGTGAAACTCGAATGCAACACCTGAAGCTGATTTTGGCACAAACCAGGAGCTTTAATAAAGACAAGACGAGAACTCTGTCACTCGTTTTAGAGCTCTATCTAATCTAATTGTTTCTCTCTCAGCAGGTAAATCTAAAGTCTGCAGGAAGTCTAGTGCAGTAAAGTTACAGGGATTTAAGAGTCTGATCACAAAAACACAAAGTCTCATCTGTGTGAAGTTAAAATCACACTGAGCTCTCCTGGAGCTGAAATCTGCAGACTAAGGGTTGCACGACTACAGACTTGTGTAAGTCAACATTTGTGTCAATTTTGGAGTCGTTGACTATTTGTAGAGCGCCAATTCATAAGAAATGTTATCTCCAGACACTTCACAAAAGGAGCAGGTGAAAGACTTAACTCATTGCTATGTTACAAAGACCTAATGTCAATCCATCATTAGCACTTAGCAACATTTAGCAAAGTTACAGTGGAGAGAAAGAGGCAGAAATCTTGGGCAAATGGACACACAAGTTACAGACTTTGAGGTGGAGGTGTTGTCAAATAGGTGAAGGACACAAGGGAGATGGTCACACAGGTGTTGAACATGCTATGGTAACAGGTGATGAAGACAGGTGTTGTCAAACAGGTGAATTATGTCTGATTTAGGATTTTTAAATGTTTTTTTCCTGACATCAACTTAAAGTCTCGGACACAACTGTCCCAGACTTCTATTCTCTGTCCTCCTCTTAGACAGACACACACACACACACACACACACACACACACACACACACACACACACACACACACACACACACACACACACACACTGCTACAGTAACATCAGTGTGGTTTAAAATGCGGTGTGTCCACAAATAGGAGAGTTAGCGTGAAGACAGTCACAGTTAAACTCTGCAGAGCAACCAGTGTGGTTCAGACCTCAGTCTGATGAACTACACACACACACACACACACACACACACACACACACACACACACACGTACAGTGAGGCTCCACAAAGATGTTGTATATACACACCTATACCAAACCAAACGCACACTTATAAATATCAGTCAGATTTAGCATCAGACTGTTTAACTGATCTCTTAGGTTCCCACGTAACGCACACAAACTGTCAGCTACCACGATACAATAAACCACACACACAGGTACAGTAATATAATACTGTACAGTGTGCTGAAACCTTTCATCTCTCAATCCCTCGACCGTTAAACTTAACCCTTCATCCCACTATTCCTCAACCCTTACACTCTTAAGATGACTTTTTTTTGTTCTCAGCAAGTTTCTTTTCTTGAATAAAAAAGGATAATTAAAATCCCTTCACCCTTTCATCACCCATCCTTCAAACCTTACCCTCATCCCTTCTTCTTACCCTCATCCCTTCATCCCAAGTCATATTAACATTGCTATATCTTTATTGCCGTGGTCTTTGTCAGTAACTTACATGAAGTTTAATAACATGTAGTTGAATCATTTCTGGTTTAACTGTTTAAAGCTTTTACAGATTTCAAGGAGAAGATATAAAAAAAAAGATTCAAGGACCTGATCCAGGTCCTCCACCACACCACCCCTCCTCTTAGGTCCTGATGTGACGGCCTGTCAGGAGACGAGTACAGATCTGATCCTCACACGCGCGCGGTGAGCTGACCACTGAGCGGTGAAGAGGCCCACAGTGTCCCTCCTCATCTTCATCACTCCCCACATACACCCCCAGCCTGACCCAAAATCCTGCAGACCTGCTGCCCGCCCCCCACCCCTCTACACCCCCTTGTGTGTCTGACCACGAGTACTGTGAGTCCTCAGGTGGACAGTGTGTGTGTGTGTGTGTGTCTCTCTCGCGCTGTGATGTGATGGCTCCTGGCACCGTGGGCTCTCCTGCCCTGCAGTCTGACTGTCAGGCTGGTGTGTGATGAAGAGGAGGAGTGAAGGACGGAGCAGAGAGTAAAATAATGAGTTCAGAGAGTGTGAGGCTCGGCTCAGGTCCAGGTTCAGCCTGCAGGTCTTTTTAGAGTCTCACACTGCTCAAACTCTGCACCAAGACCAACGCAGTCACAGAACTTTATCACTTCTCCTTTCTGTCAGAACTTCAGAAGGAAACTCTGTCCATTGTACTTTCTTCTGTACCAGCTCACCTGGACACTGATCAGCTATCTAAACATGACCAGCTACTTAACTTAGACAAGACTGAAGTGTGCTAGATGGCATCAGCCTGGCATCCAGTCCCACCGTTCTGGATCAGTGAGTTCAAATTGATCAGAATATGTCCTTCAGCTCCCAGACAAAGAGCCACTTTTGTAACATTGCAAAAAAAATTCCGGCACAACCTGTCTCAAAATGAAGCCGAAAAAGGAGTCCATGCATTTGTTAGCTCCAGGTTGGATAATATTCTTATATCAGGCTGCCCTGCTAAGTCTCTGAAGACTCTTCCCCTGGTCCAAAATGCTGCAGCTCGTGTACAGACTGGAACTAGGAAAAGAGATCACATTACTCCCGTGTTAGCCTCTCTGCACTGGCTCTCATCTCCTCACCATCTTATCTTAAAGAGCTCATAATTGTGCGGTATTACCCTTTGAGAACATTACGCCTCCCAGACTGCAGGCCTGCTCGTGGTACTTACAGTCTCTAAGGCCCCTTTTCCACTCAGCCAGTCCCAGAGCTGATTCAGAGACAGTGCCTAAGCTAGCACCAGACCGCCAAAGAACCGGCTCTGGGCCAGGAAAAATGGTTCCAGAGTAGCACCAACTCCTTGCTGATCTACTAAGAAAGCACCGCTAATGTCGGGGGCTGGGGGTGCGGGGTTATCATGACCAAAATGGAAGCATGCAAAACTGTTGTGACCACGTAGTATGGGAAGTAGAGCCTTCGGTTATCAGGCCCCTCTCCTTTGGAATCATCTACCAGTCAGGGTCCAGGAGGCAGACACACTCTCTACTTTTAAGAGTGAGCTAAAAACTTAGATTTTTGACTGGCTCAAGCTTGGACCAGCTCCTAGTTATATGAAGGACTTTCATCCGTCTTGGTCCTGCCCCCGACCTCGTTGCTTTTAACACTCTCTTGCCATTGCAGGGAAATACTTCCAGTTCAACAATAGCAGATTAACCTGAGAGTAAATCCGCGTCACGTTGACCGGTGAAGGAGAAGAGAGCCGGTGCCAGGCTAACGTTATTGTGGAAAAAATGAGACAGATCAACCGGGAAGTCTGGAACCGGTCGACGGAAGCTATCACATGTCTAATTCCTCCGCTTTCAGAACATCATTTTACAATCGTTTTTGCGGTCACCACTCATCAGCTCAGACGTCGGCTATCCAACTCGCCTCTCGAGACTACAGCAACGACTTCAGAGGCTTCCTGCAACTTGTTGAAACCGTTCTGTTTTAATCAAAAGATTCATCACAAGAAGTTACAATCTTACTAATATGTATATTTATATTTTTTCTCACATTTTTATTCTCATTGTTCTGTGATGAATAGTGTTTTGTTGCTCTCTGCCTCGGTGCTGCATTCGGCCCATTACTGGCTATGCAGCCGCCTTAGAGAGGGAGCTCTGTGTGCCTACATGTTTTTATATATCCAAAATGATGTGTGCAATGTTTGACGATGCCTGAAGATCTGTGAGATGGAAGCATTACAGGGGGATTTCAATACAGTGTGCAGATCCTTTTTTGAGACTTGCTTTCAGTTTTATATTTCTGATCCAGCACCTGGGAGTTTTTTTTTTGACTCGCTTCCCCCACACCTTGTTTTGTCTTAAATTAAAATAAACACATGTAGAGACACAGTATGAGGAAGGAGGTCGGCCTCAAATCTCCCCAGAGATTATTTTTCGTCTTCTCTTTCACTCCTCTTCCTCTTCTTTTTCTCAACGACCTGATGAGTGAAAAACACGCTGGCAGCTCACCTGGTTGTTCACCTGGTAGAGCCTCTTCTACTGAATCATCAACACCTGGCTGCAGGGAATGCTCCATTACACTTTCAGCTGATTCTACCTGAAGGAGGTTTGAGTTGTAAATAAATCAGATTGTGTGTTGATGATGTAATGACAGGGTGACCAGCAGAGGGCAGCACAGGACAGAGAACCACACACAGACACACTAACACTGAGCCTGAGAGCTTCTATTTGACTGAACGCTGCACACTGTGTGCTCGTCTTCACATCACAAAACAGAAACACAATCCTCCCTGTTTCTTCTCTAAAACTGTTAAGAACCCTCGCTTAACCCTGAAGTTCACCTCGCTGTCATCAGCCCGCCCATCCTCATCTTTACAAAGTGTCTGCCCTATGATTAAATGTTTACCTGTCTTTACCTTTACAGAACCTCGGCCTCCTGCATTCCAGATTTTCTGACTTTAAAAGTTGCTGCAGTCTGACGTTGTTTCTCTGGTGAGTCAGTGTTGTGCTGTTCTGCTTCCTCACCTTTTTGTCTTTAACCTACATGAGTTCACCCTCCAGCTGTTCATCATAAACCTACTGTATCTATAAGAGCAGGTTATAATTTACACAATAAAGTGTTTTTACTTGATGAAGTTTCTGAAGAATCAGCATCAATTACGTAAAACATTTTAATGTATGTGGTGTTTTTGTGTGAATAAAACTTTGAATCTGCTTCCTTTAACTTTCAGGCAGAATAACCTTTAAAAAACAGCTGTGACACATGAAGATTAGAGTTTAAAAAAACAGAGGTAAAACTGTTAACGCTCTTTTAGCTCTGTTTTGGTCTCCACCACCTCCTGTTGAAACCCTGTGCTCATTTAGCTTTTAGCCTCGAGCTCATTTTGTCTTTATCGATCATTAATCCTGTCAGCAGGAGTTTATAAAAACGTTTCGATATCACTTCAACATGACACCTCAATGGACCAATCAGGAGCTCTTAAAGATTCTGTTTAACACAGCGTTCATTTGTCCCCATCATTAGTGTGTGTGTATGCGCTCGCTCTCTAAATAAATCTGTCATTAGCATTTTCCCTATAAAAGAAATAATTTAATCTTTGATGTCAGTAATTGTGCTTCAGGGCTGCTGTTCTCCTCTTCATCAGACACACACACACACACACACACACACACACACACACACACACACACACACCAAATGATCACATGATCATAGCTGCTCTTCTCTTAACTATGCTACAGCCACTACCTGCATCAGGATGACTAGTAGATAGATAGATAGATAGATACTTTATTGATCCCGAGGGAAATTCAAAGCATCCAGTAGCAGGTTACAAAGACGTACATGACATGAAACATTTGTTACAAATGAAACCGCAAACCAACCCCCCCCCCCCCCCCCATACATATATATTAACCCGAAAAAATATTTAAAGAATACCCCTAGATTAAACAAACTTAAACTGTGCAATTAAAAATAGACTTATACAAGAAATGTACATAACCTGTGCAGGGATAAAAATATATGTGTAATTTAAAGAAAGAGCCTAAAGCATAATATATAGCATGATCGTATAATAACCCTGCACCAAGAGGACTAGTGTTATTTAACCTGCACCAGGAGGACTAGTGTCATTTAACCTGCACCAGGAGGACTAGTGTCATTTAACCTGCACCAGGAGGACTAACGTTATTAAACCTGCACCAGGAGGACTAACGTTATTAAACCTGCACCAGGAGGACTAGTTTTATTAAATCTGCATCAGGCGGACCAGTGTTATTTAACCTGCACCAGGAGGACTAGTATAATAATCCTGCACCAGGAGGACTAGTTTTATCAAACCTGCACCAGGAGGACTAGTTTTATCAAAAATAAATCTAAGAGAGGACAGGTAGGCCAGGTGTAGCTGCATTGATCAATCACTCTGTGACACACATTTTTAAAGAAACTCCCAAACACACACACACACACACACACACACACACACACACACACACACACACACACACACACACACACACAGTAGAACAGACTGACCAACAGAGGGCGCTGTTGGACTGCAGGTTCTACCTGAGCAGAGCTCAGAGAGGAGCAGAGAGGAGTTCAGACTTTAACCCTGAACTCTGAATAAAAACGATCAGCTGTTAACGGATGAAGCTTCAATCAAGGATTCAGCAGCTTGTTGATCAACAGAGAGATATAAATACTGAGACTGTCTGCTCTTCTTCTTTACCCTCCTAAATAACATTAAATTACATCGTGCTCCATAGAAATGAAAACATTCCTATACTGCAGGTTTCACACTCACATGTACAGAAATGCTGCAGGTCATTCTGTCTTTATTGTTCTTTGTCTCTCTGTTTAAATTTATTTTGTAATTAATTGAAAACTGTAACTAGTGCGTTTCTTTTCTGAGGGAGAGCTGACGACTGTACTGTCAAAAAAAAAATACAGCACACACCAAGAGCACAAGGAAAAGACGACACACAGGTGTAACAACAATCTACTCATAAGGCCTTTTTACCGCCGGAGGTCACATGACCTTCATCAGCCAATAAAAACAGTTTAAAGATGAACAGATTAAACCGAGGAGACCGACCAGAGGTGGAGATCATGAGGGGTGACAGAAACCTCCAGAACAAACAAGTCATGGACTTCAGGTGTTTTAATGACAGAGAAAACGACTCGCTGCTTTTTCTCCCAGCATGCATCTGTGCACATAAACATGAGTGTGATCAGTTTAGTGGTGAACAGTTGTTGTGAAAGTGATCTTAAAGGACACGTCGGTGTCCCTCAGTTAAAACTTAACCAGAGAGAGTGAGTGTGTGTGTGTGTGTGTGTGTGTGTGTGTGTGTGTGTGTGTGTGTGTGTGTGTGTGTTAGCATTAGCATAAAACCAAACAGCCGTGTGTATAAATGCTAATGAAGGAGCATCACTCACTCTGATGGGCTCCGAGTGACAATCACCTTTAAAAACGACCAATAAGAAGACAGAACGATGCACCTGTCGACCATCTGACTAATGAGCCAATCAGGTTGCAAGGACGAGGAGGAGCAGGCGATGATGAAGGCCCCCCGAGGAAGAGTCGGAGGAAGAGGAGCAGACACAACGAGCTGCACGGATTCCCAGGTTCAAACATTCAAACACCTGAGAGGGTGCGATTAAAAACTCACACATTCAAGTCCTCTTCCTCAGTCTGCAGGGGCGGCTTGTAGGGGGATAGAGACTGACTGCTCAGGAGTAAGGGGGAAGGGCCCTAATGTTCCTGAAATAAATACATCATTTTTTGTTTGTTTTAGTTTTTCTTTAAGGTATTGTGATTCTTAAACCGATTTGTACCTCTTAACTATTATGGATGTAACACAAACAAACAAACAAAGAAGACAAACAGCAGAAATTTAAACTTCCATATAAATCAAACAATATTGAAACCTGTTTCGACACCACTGCAACAACAAAAAAGAAGTCCTCGACACCCCCATGGTGGGTAATTTATTGTTTTTGAGTGACCATGAAGTGCAGGCAAACTCCTGCACGCTGTTTAAATTGGACAACATTTTTGACACTCCAAAATGTTTTGCAAAACTTTTTGTGCAGGATTTTGCTTAAATTTTTGCTGGATTTTTGCTGGATTTTTCTTCTGTTATGCACCTTTCTTATGAAATAGATTAAGTTATTTTAAGTTTCAGGAGTTTTCAATGTCATTAAATTAGAGATTGCATCCTGGTATCAAAAAGTAATGAAGGAAACTTACAGCATTTAATTGGTCAGTTTTTGTAACAGAGGTGTGGTTATAGTAATATTTCAGGGTTGACTGAGTTTGTGTTGGAAGGGTCTATTGAGATTTAATTTCAGGGGGCCCAGAAATACAGGAGACGCCCCTGTTGGTCCGTCCTCTTCCTCGGCTCAAACCCTCGTCTTCATGATAAAGCTCTCCTTAAAGCTGACAGTGATGTACGTCTCAGTGAGTGTCGCTCTCTTTGTGTTTCCTGCCTGATGAAGGTGGGAGTTGTGTTGTGAGCGGCACAAAGACTCATGGACGAGCTGCCATCTTCCCTTTTTTCTTCTAAACGAGCGTGTGAAATCTGGTTATTCCTCCCACAGAGAGCGAGAGAGAGGGCTGACTGCCAGACCGGAGAGAGATACACCGAGGAAGAGAGAGGAAGAGGAGGAGCGACACTTCAGGAGAAGAAGAAGAAGAAGAAGAAGAAGAAGAAGCAGGTGATGAAGAAGGGGATAAATAAGCAAACTGAGGCCTCCTCTTCCTCTGTGAGCCTCACGGTGCAGGACGAAGATGAAGTGGTGAAGAAGATGCATGAGGGTGATAAAGATAGGAGAAGGTTTTTTTTTAAATTTTATTTGATATTTTAAATAAATGTAAAAAAAAAAAAAAAACTAACCAGAACTCCCTTGACTCTTCTATTTCTAATTCTTCTTCTGCTGCAGTTAATTCTGCAGCCTGAGGTCACAGAAGGTCACAAACATGGCGTCCCTGATCACTGACTTTAACTCTCTGACAGTCCACGTTCATCACTTTAATAAAGTGAGGCGTTTAAACGTGAAGGTTATAATCAAATCTAATCTTTCATTGTGTGTGTGTGTGTGTGTGTGTGTGTGTAAATGTGTGTGTTAATATTGTGAGCGCAGATTTAGGCCACGCGGCGCAGCACAAAGGAGAGGATACAAATACAGAACCTCCCCTAAAAACCGCTTAAAATACACAAAAATAAATAAATCACTAAAATGTTCTTAAATTAATTCTGATGATTATCACTATAATTGAGTAATATGCGTTAATGACGTGACAGGCCCTCCTTGTTACACTCTGAGTAAATGTGAATAGATGTATAGTAAAACATGAACAATAATCAGACACATTTACGCACGCGCTACTGCAGAGAGGGTTGATAATTAGAGTAAACGGGAAGGCACGCGCGAATTTGGACTTCGGTGCAAAGTGTCCAGCCTCTCGTGCACAAGGTATGGAAGCCCTTGAGGTCAAAATTTAGCAAAAAATAATCCGAATGTGATGGAGATGAAGAGACTCAGGAGGAGAAGGAGGAGGAAGAGGAGGAGGTGACAGGAGCGACTCTGACCACTGTGCCGCGCGCAGGAGCCCGGTGTGTGTGTGAGGGTGTGAGAGTGTGTGTCAGTGTGTGTGTCAGTGTGTGTGAAAGCCACCACTAGTCGCCCCCAGTGCTCTTCAGTCTCCACTCTCCCTCTCACCGCTCACTGAACGTCACGTCCGCACTTGAACTTGAGTTTTCAGCCGCTGTAGGAGCCAGAGCGCCGCACAGACCCGCACAGACCCGCAGAGCGCCGCACGGACCCGCACTGAGGCGCACAGACTTGCACAGTGCCACAGAGAGCCGCACGGACCGGCACGGACCCGCAGAGCTCAACAGAGAGCCGCAGAGAGGCGCAGAGAGCAGCCCCGGGATGCGGGAGTGTGCAGCCCGCACGCAGATACACAGCAGCGCGAGACTCTAAGTCCTCTGCCCGCTCTGCACGCGCAGCAGAAGAAGTGTCCACAGCTCCTCGAGAGCGGGAACAAGACTGGATTTTAATTTTTCATTCCTTCACGCACTCTGGAGTGCACGCTGTCCGGGCTGTCCGGAGAGTGGACACGCGCCCTGAGTGACCATCAGGGGGTGACCGCACACCTCCTCTCAGCTGCCCCGGCTCATGGTGTGAGCTCCTCGGCAGGAAGAGCCGGACTCCCCCCCCTCCCTCACCGCGCACACCGGTGGCACGAGGAGCGGACCGAGCGCACGGCCGACCGGCGCTCCTCCACATCACGGCCGGTCACCTCACCGCTACTCAGCCGCTGCCAGCTGGAGGATCAGCCCAGGGGCCACACCTGGGGCCGCAGCACAGGGGTCAGTTTGGGGCGCTCAGCCCGCGACCGGTTTTGGGGCCAGTTAACGGCCGCCGGTGTTCTCCAGGAGGAGAAGGAGAGCCGACCCTTCACGCGCCGCTCTCCGGGCGATGCCAGTGTAAATGCCAGGGCGATGTCCCGACGCAAGCAGGGGAACCCGCAGCACCTGTCCCAGAGAGAAATCACAGGTGAGGGGTTAAAACGCTTAAAAAAAAAAGTCGCTGCTGAAAACTTTACTTCAGGTTTTATTTTTATTTTCACTTTTTCTCTTGCTGGGAGAGAGTTCAGAGTTTTTCTCTCTGAGCGTAAAAACGTCTCTGAGCTCAAAGTGAGTTTCCTGCTGAAGGCCGATCTTTGTTTTTATTTTTCTACATTTTCAGACAAAATGAGACACATTTCTAATTACTTAAAAATCGTGTTGTGTGATGAAGCCGCTTCATGTCCAGATTATGAACAGAGAAGAGATCTGTCTGCAGGACTTTGACTGTTTCTGTTTGTTTGAATTCAACAAAATCAAATAAATTAAATTATAATCAGCGCTGACATTAATTATAGCTATCTCTATTTACAGCTGACAAATTAAAAACAATTATAATTTCATGTATTTAATTAAGTTGTTAACTTTTGGCGTACTTGTATCCTTAAAGACATTTTAAAACAGATCTGTTATTTTCACATCAGATCAAATCTCTAAAATAATTTATTGAGTTTTTAATTCGCACATTAATTTAATTCTTCACTTCAAATTAAATAAAACAAACCTGCTCTCTTTGAATTATTCTTTAACACATTTAAACACCTGATTTAATAAGGAAATGATCTAATAAAATTGCAAACTTCTCACTGAAGCTGATGATTCAATAAATTAAATCTTCTCCGCGGTCACTCAGCGGCTCGGGCTCACGCTCTCTGCGGGGTTTCCCTGAAGGTTTTCGGGTCTGTTTCAGACACATGAGCGCCTCGTGCAGCCTCCGGATTTCTCTTTAATTAGTCAGATCTGTGTCTTCTGCTCCTGCTGCATGAACACGGGCTCTCCCTCCTGCTTTAATATGAACACTGAGTCTGGATTATTTAAAACCTGCCAGACTTCACAGTGAAAATATCCGAGCAGAGGAAACACAGGGTGCAGTGACGGCATGTGCAGCAGAGTACAGTCAAACACACACACACACGCACACACATACACACACACACTCTGTTATTATATTATCTACTGCACTGTTCTCTTTCATGGAGGTCTGGTGCGAGCTATAAGGAGTTTATGTGTGACATAAATTTGAACTTTTAGAGAGAAAAAAAATGCTTTTTAAACAAAATGTCAAAGCGAATAAACGACTCAGCTCTCTGTTTTTAACACATTTTTTCTGTGCACATTTTAATTCTTAAATCTAAACTCACAGATTCATGACCTGACTAAAATATCACTTATTGTAAAGTGGTCAGAGTGAAAAGATTCCTCTGAGCACAGATCAGTGTGTGTGATGTGATGTTGTGCAACACACACAGACTCTCTGTCTCTCTCACACACACACACACACACACACACACACACAGTGATGAGGTGAAGACAGCAGTTTGTGTTCAGGATGAAGATTTCAGTCAGACACATTCAGCGTTCAGATTATTTAATGTAAACTCATCTCTTTGTGTGCATGTTGTGTTCTTGCTCCTCTGTTTACCACAGTTTACGGTAACATGTGCACACCTGTCAGTGTGTGTGTGTGTGTGTGTGTGTGTGTGTGTGTGTGTGTGTGTGTGTGTGTGTGTGTGAACCTGACACATCAAATCATATATACACACTCTTTGAGAACTTCACTGACTGAAATTTACAACAAAGCCTGCACTGTACCCTGCTCTGTCTGCTGAAGAGGCCTGACTGCACAGCATCGTACTGCCAACCTATAAGAGCATACACTCTCACACATACACACACACACACACACACACACACACACACACACACACACACACACACACACACACACACTTACAGCTTTAGCGGGTGCATGCAGCTGAGATGTCAAACATCTCCTGACGGGTGCAGATCTGATCACTTCTCAGCTCATCTGCAGCCTCAGCTCACATACCTGTGGAAGTGGGTCACACACACCGTCGCTGCAAGCCTCACTCTCTCACACGACACACACACACATACACACACACACACACACACACACACACACACACACACACACACACACACACTGTGTGCAAGGAACACAAACTGGTGCATGTAAAGACTCACCAGTATAGTCTCTACAGAGAGACAGACAGGTAGAGAGGAGAGAGAGAGTTAAGATGGAGGCTAATAAATAAGCTTCCTGTTTGCACTAAAACACCTCAGTGTGGGTGTGTGTGTGTAAGTGTGGGTGTGTGTGTGTGTGTGTGTGTGTGTGTGTGCGCGCAGGTCTGACCTGTCTGTCTGTCTGATTTATCTCTGTTCAGGCTGCAGCTCGGCGCTCTACATGCCATCATTTGTGTGCAAGAGATGCTGCACATTTAGTATGCTTCAGTACACACACACACACACACACACATGTTCATACACACACACACACACACACACACATGTTCATACACACACACACAAGCACACACTCGTGCATGTATGTAGGCTTGCATGAACATATGCAAATGCACACACGTGAATCGTCCTCACAGAAGACCGTCTTTTTCTCCTCAAGCTGTCAGCTCGTCCAGTCGTCTGACCACTGATTGAGTCTTTGCTTATAATTCAGATTTCACACACACGCTGCAAACATCAAGTTATGTGTCAGTTCTACATTTCAGAGGAGAGATTCTTCTTCTCTTGTGTTTCACTTTCTCCTTATGAGAGAGGAGCTGTTAGCAGACGTGCGGCCTGTGCTCTGTAGGTTACATCTCAGATATTCTGAAGGGAGTTTGGGTTGATTTCTGATTGTTTGAAACGCTTTAAAACAATATTTTGACATGTTTTGTACAGAATAAGAGTACGCTGAGGACCTGCTCTCTACGTAAAGTGTCTTCAGATAACATTTGTAATGAATTGGCGCGATAAAATATACAAATGTATTGATTTAAAAAGTAGCTTCGTTGAGTCTCAGCTGCAGTCAGAGAGCATCAGTGTCACACTCGATGCTTTAAACATATTGACACATATATTCCTCTCTCACACACACACACACACACACACACACACACACACACACACATACACAGACACACACCTCTCTCATTCCTCTGCTTCCTTTGTTTGTCCTCTTAAAGAAAGATGATAAAAAGTGTGTGTTGTGTCTCTCTCATAGAACAAATGAAATGATTAAATACAGGTTTGATTAAAGGAAGACTATCACACCACACCTGACCCTCACCTGTAACATGAAGTGTTCACATGCAGCAGAGTGTCCTCACAATCTGCTGCAGTTTGTTTCACACACGTGCTCGATAGATAAATATTTTTTCAACACACACACTAGCTAATTGTTGGTTTATATATTTGCAGTGTGTGTGTGTGTGTGTGTGTGTGTGTGTGTGTGTGTGTTTGTGTGTGTGTGTGTGTGTGTGTGTGTGTGTGTGTGTGTGTGTGTGTGTGTGTGTGTGTGTGTGTGTGTGTTGGGGTGTTTTTTTGTAGACCAGTTTGTCTCCTGCAGGTGCACGTTCTCCTTCTGCTCCTTTTTCACAGAGAATAAAATCGCTCTGATTCACCGAGAGGACACACAAGCAGCTCTCACTGCACACACACACACATTTACACACAAATAGGGAGAGGTCTGTGTGTGTGTAAATTGCTTCGGCCCGCTTAAAATGCATGCTACCCGTTGGCTGTCAAATAGCCGAGCACCCTGCTGAGCTCAGTCTTTGTTACACACACACACACACACACACACACACACACACACACACGCTGATGTCCTGTAACAGTGTGCTTGTGTGAGTTGCTTGTAAAACACAGAGTCTGTGTGTGTGTGTCACACTCCCTTCATGATATTAACTTGTGCTCTTATTGTAAACAGCAGATAAAGTAGCAGTCCGTTAAAATCTTTACAGAGGGGTCTGTGGATTTAACACAGAATAAAAAAAAAAAAAAGTCTCTGTGAAGAGTCAGATTTATTTTTATAATCCATAAGGGTCATAGGGTGAAGATTTGTCTTATTTTAGGAGGAGCCAAAAAATATAATTTCAGACACTTCACACCTTCACACACACATGATAGAGTCTGCTATCTCTCTCTCTCTCTCTCATATCCTGCTAGGGGGAGCTCTCAGGCTGTCAGTGCTGCTCTCTGTCAGTGTGTGTGTGTGTGTGTGTGTGTGTGTGTGTGTGTGTGTGTGTGTGTGTGTGTGTGTGTGTGTGTGTGTGTGTGTGTGTGTGTTAATCAAAAGGACCACATTCACCTCTTACTGCTGCACCTGCACACTCTGAACTCCTCTGTCTGTGTGTCACTCTTTTATTTGCACTGTTAATACTGTGTGTGCGTGTGTGTGTGTGTGTGTGTGTGTGTGTGTGTGTGTGTGTGTGTGTGTGTGTGTGTGTGTGTAAGCTGTGCAGCAGTTTGAGCAGTAACTGTATTTCTTCCGGCCTTATTCACTTTTTTAATTTCAGATTTATATTTTTCTCTCAGATTGATTTTTCAAATTTAAACACTTTTATATTTTTTTAACAACATTTAATAAACGTTTTTAAAGATAGAGAGCAGAGCGAGCAAACATGTGGCATAAAGATTTGCTTATTTACACACACAGTTTCATAATGTTCCAGAGGTAATAGATAAATATCGCATGTGACTGATTATAAATCACTCGTTTAAGATCTGATAATATTTGTAGATTTGTTAGAACAGCTTCTGTGGTCGTTTTAAGGAGCGCTTCATTTGTGGCTCTATGCTCGCTGCCGCCACCCCCCCCCCCACCCCCCGAACTACAGTCTCAACTCTGTGTGTGTTATCACATGTTTAATATCAGACTGATATGGTGACAGGCGCTGCTCTGTGACTGGCTGAGCGAGAGACAGGTGCTGCTCTGTGACTGGCTGAGCGAGAGACAGGTGCTGCTCGGTGACTGGCTGAGCGCGAGACAGCGGCTGCTCTGTGATTGGCTGCTCAGAGATCCTGTCTGCAGAATTACCTGGATCAGCTGTGAGCTAAAAAAAAAAACTGCTGTTTTAAATCAGCTCACAGCTGGAAATGAAAACTGAAAAACACACTCACATTTAAACTTTTACTCTGTGTGGGATGTGGAATAACCATGCGCTTGAATTTCTACAACAATAATTTAAATGTACTCTAAATATCTTTTACTTGAGATTAGACTATATTTTCCTCGAGGGGAAAACACACAGCTCCGTGCATCTTACACTACCACATTTATTATTCCATATTTTGTGTTTTTTTAAATTGTGCATTTATGAATTGATCCCTTTTTCAATATCTTATGCGTTGTGTAAAGCATAAAACACAATAGAATAGATGGATTCCCATGGACACAATTTAAATATAAATGACTGAAGGCCAAAAATAATCTTTAAGAAATTATAACAATTCTACAATTCACTTAGCAGACACTTTTATCCAAAGCGACGTACATCAGAGAGTAAGTACAACACAAGCAAGGATCAAGAAAAAAAGGGAACAATGTCAGTAAGAGCAAACGATCAGCTTTGAGTCTGATTGGACACACAGGTGCTGACAGGAAGTGACCAGAGGCAAAGCACAACATTGACGGCAGTTCTTGAGAGCTCTAATCAGTATAGAAACCATCTTATAAGTCATCGTTATCGAACAAAAACCATCGTCATCATCAATAATATCGAAACCATCATCATTAAGTTAGTAGGTATTCATGAAGGAGCTGGGTCTTTAGCTTTTCCTTAAAGGTGCAGAGGGACTCTGCAGATCCAATGGAGTTTGGAAGTTCATAACAAGAGGCAAACACTTTGCATGAAGTGGTTCATCGAGGGTGAGAACCTGAGACGGTTACTTCTGTCTGTCTTTATCTTAACGTTTCATATTCAGGGAGCAGGATATCTGTGTGTGTCACTGGATTAAAACGTCCGCTGTAAGAGACTTATTTTCACCGTTAGTTAAAAGTAAATAAATATGAATGATTGCAAAAAATGTCTCAAAGCAAATGTAAGAGTTTTGACATTCAGTAGCAAAATTAAAATACCAGAAACCATCTTCAGATTAGCAACAGTAATGTTCATAACTCCAGATTTTCACACCTTGTTGTTGGAATTAAAGATACTTCCTGTTTGAATGTTAAGGTAGTGGGCGTGTATCTGCATGTGAGTGTGTGTGTGTGTGTGTGTGTGTGTGTGTATGTGTGTGTCTATCTGTGAGTTGTAGAAGCGAAGGTGTGGCTGTCAGTGTGTCTCAGTTTGTAACGGATAACTGTGATGCTGCAGGAGTGTTAGTATCTGCTCGTGTGTGTGTGTGTGTGTCTGTGCGTGCAGTCATAGCCACAAACACTTCATCTTGATTGTAAGCCTCATGTGCGTGTCTGTGTGTGTCCGTCTGAGGAAACTGTAAAAAATGCACCAGTAAAGCTAAGGTTTTACAGTTTTATAGAAGTCTTTTCATCTGGTCCAGAAACACACACACACACACATTCACAGAATAACACACATACGTTTATGGTTTGTGTGAACGTCTCTGTTGTGTGAGTAATTTTCAGTTTTACATCAGACTGAGGAAAGTTTGTGACGCTCGTTAAACGCTAAATCATTAAAATAAAAAAGTGTGTGTGTGTGTGTGTGTGTGTGTGAGAGTGTGTATGTGTTTTTGTGTGTTGTGTGTGTGAGAGAGAGTGTGTATGTGTTTTTGTGTGTTGTGTGTGTGTGTGTGAGTGTGTATGTGTTTTTGTGTGTTGTGTGTGTGTGTGTGTTTGTTCCAGGTCACATCACTGCACAAACACACACTACTGTACAGAGCTGCTCATTCTTCACCACAGGACAGATGGCTGCAGCCTGCAGGCCACATGCACACATGTACCCACACACACACACACACACACACACACACACCCACAGTGAGATGTGGACTGACAGATCTCGATTCTGTACACCTGCTCACACACTCTCTCACATACACACACTCTCCGTTGCCGTAGAAACAATAATATCAATCCTCGACTAGAACTTAAATAAGACTCCATCTTTATTGTTTAACTATATTCAGGAAGACAAGAGTGATGAAGATTAAAATATAAAAAGGAATTACATTTTTTATGTTCCCTTAAATATTTTTATAACCAGATATCATGATTGGTTTACTGTAAGAATAAAAAAAAAAATCACATTTAGGAATTATAGTTTTTATATTTATCATATAAAAATCACCCAAATGTTCACTGAGAAAAGGATCATGTGTTATCGTTCCAGTTTATGATGTTATTAATATATCAAACAGCTCTTTGGTCGACATCATTTAAAGTTCAGATACGGGTCAAAATGTTAAAGCAAAATTAAAAAATTAAATACAAGATCTTAGATTTGTACCAGAGTTTCCTCAGATGTAGTTTGAGATAAAAAGAGATCGGTAAACGCTGACATGGAGAGCATGTATTTCTCTCTTCTGTTTGTCCCCCTATTTACAGCTGTGTGTGTGTGTGTGTTTGTGTGTGTGTGTACATGTAAGAGTGTGTAGCAGGGTGAATAAAATATACGACTGGAAAGCTGATACAAGGTGTACACCTGTTCTGACTGTTGACTGTTTGTCTTGTGAGATAGAAGTGCTGCTCTCAAAAAGCCGTTTTCAGTTTTCACACTTGCACAAAACTCCTGAAAACGTCCTGAACTTTTCCTGGACGAGCTGCATGTGTGAACGCAAAACAGCTGAATCTATCCCTCTGACATGTCCCGGTATTTTTCCTGCCAGGCCTCTAGTTAAAGTTCCCTGTGAGATCAGAGTGAGCCTACGAGAGAAGGCAGCAGTGAATATTATGGTAAAGTCATCACGAGCGTGCAGGAAAGGGCGGTGGGGTTTAAATCCTGTGACATGGGAACAACCACACATTGTATATGCATGCATCTGGTGCGAGCTCCGTGCACACAGTTAAACGGCCTCATTGTGTTTTCGGTTGTTCTCTGCTCCTTTGATGATATTATGAATGTGTTGAACTTCTAAAGGCAGGGATATAAATGTGAAAACTATGAGCATAGTGTTGTACTCTGTTGCTTCATTCGTCACATTTGTGTCGCTCTTTTTACGTCATGTCTCCTCCCATCTGACAGGGAAAATCTCCAGCTGCGAGAGACATGTGTGAACAAGGAGTGCATGTGTGAAAATGGCTTCACAGTCCGATAATAAATCCTTGTAGCAGACACACACATACACATAGTTTCATACAGAGCAGACCTCATAACGTTCTTTTTTAATGAAGAGTAAAAACAGCAGAACTACAGACACTGCTCTCCTCTTCACAGAGTCAGTGCTGCAGAAAAAAAAAACTGTGTGAAAGTTAGAAAACAGGCACATGTATACCTGCTTGGATACTTGATCGTGCACAGACAGACTCAGACACGATCAGGTGTACAGAGGATCAGAGCTCAGACCTACTGTAGCTCGTACATGAACATTTACGCTCTTATCGATGATGATTTGGAGGAAGGTGTTGATATCGACTTGCGAGAAGCTGCCAATGCTTGAAAAAACGACCGTTAAAAAAAAAAACTCAAGGCACTCGCTTAAGAAGAAATTTCAAAATGCCTGAATTAGATTGGCATCCGGCGTTCTCCAGGAAGTTAAACACAAATGTGGTGAAACCAATGCTGTTGATGATGATGATATAATTTTTTTTTTAGATTGTAATATTAAAAAACAAAATCTGTGCAAAGCTTATCAGCACCTGTGTATCTGATCAGACTTAAATCTGTTTGTTTGCACTTACTGTCGTCGTTTCCTCCTCTCTGGATCTTTGCTTGTGTTGCATTAACTCTCTGGTGTCCGTCATTCTGGACAAAAAGCAGCTGCTCGATGAATTGTAGATTTGATCTGGTGGATTGAGCTTCACAGGAAGCCGAGTGGTTTGTTTCATTTCACCTCACTTAAATGTCTTATTAAAAAAAACTCAACAAGTTAACTTTGCTTGCCGCATTAGCAGATTTTCTTTACTCATAACAAGGAATTCAGGCCGTTTATTTTGCCTTGAATAACTTAAGCTTAGATGTTTATCTGGACACTAAATGCTTCTTCTTCCTTTGTGATGACTGATTTGTTAAACTTGTCTCTTTCTCTCTTCTGATTGGACAGCCGAGGTTGAGCATCACGATGGAGGCCTGCTCTCGGACTGCCTCCCCCCTCACCCTCTCATGCTCCCACCTCACCCGTTGGATCCCAGTCTGGGCCACGCCCTCCCCCCCGGCCTGCACGCCGACCACGACCTGCTGACATGCGGCCAGTGTCAGCTGAGCCTGCCGCTGGGCGACATCCTCCTCTTCATCGAGCACAAGAAGAAGCAGTGCACGTCGCCGCTGCTGCCCAACGGCTGCTACGACAAGATGAACGAGCGAGGAGGAGGGAGCCCCGCCCACCACATGATCCATCACCACGCTCAGAGGGCGGAGCTTAGGAAGGTAGTGCAGCCCGTGGAGATCGGCATCCAGGTGACACCTGAGGAGGAGGAGGAGGAAGGTGGAAGACGAGGACGAGGACGAGAGGGAGGGGAAAGGAGAGAGAGGACGCCCATCAAAGGAATCTGCCCCAAACAGGAAAACCACACACTGACAGGTACGTAAACACACACACACACACACACACACACACACACACACACACACACACACACACACACAAGCACACACACACTGAAGAGTGTTTAACATCAGCTGACACATTGCGGTGCAGCCCTACAGCCTGTCAGCAGGGTTTAATTCACCCTTTTAATCACTTCACTTGATGTACACACACACACACACACACACACACACACACACACACACACACACACACACACACACACACACACACACACACACACACACACACACACACACACACACATGCATAAAGAGGTGTGTATTTTTGACATTCTCCGACATGATGACACATTTTAATCTGACAGGCTGAGTGTGCGTGTGTGTATGTGTGTGTGTAGATCTCTCTCCCTCTTTCGCTCTCTCTCCCTCTCTACTGTACCTCGCTCGCCCTCACTGCTCCTGTTTAGTTTCACCTCGGTGTTTAACACACATTGAGCTACACAATCACACTGTGTGCCTACAGTATGTTCAGGCTGTTAGCAGTTAGCTTAGCACTAGTGACTCACCTTCTCCGCAGTCTGTGCCAGCTGCCTGATGCGTTCTGCACATGCTCAGTGCGAGAATTCAGCCTAGACTCCAGGTTACCGTCAGGACGGGTAAAAACAGGAAGCTTAAAAAACAGACACAAAGATGCTTTAGGTCTTTGTAGTTCTATTATTTTCTGTGTTCATCGCTATGGTAACAGCACAATATGTGTTCACAGTCACTAATATCAGTTATTGATCTTTAGTTAATCAATACAATTAGAGCAGTTATGTCATAACACTGTGCAAAAATAGTGAATAATATTAGAGACAACCACAAACAACAGCATAAGAGCTGAGTGTGTGTGTGTGTGTGTGTGTGTGTGTCATGAAGAGTTCACACAGAGTCACACGACCATCTCGCTGCTTCTCAGCATCCTAAACTCGTGTTTGTGATTTTTGCCTCGTCTCCTCTCCGCTGTTAATCACTCTGCATGCTCTCATTTAAATATTAAAATTTACTTTAATCATCAAAGCCAGCGAGCGGCATGAATATTCATATCACCTCGCCACCCTCACCCCCACCACTCCCCCCCCCCCCCCCCACTCTCTCTCCTCCCTCCATCCCTGGATCTCAGGTTCATTACTCTGCAGCTCAGCCATTAGCCACTTCTCTAATCACACAGTTTACACACACACACTCACTCGCAAACGGTGAGCTAGCCACCAGCGCTAACCCGTGCTAATCTGCTAGCCAGTGTGTAGTGTTGTGTAGGCGTTGGTGCAGTGTGAGCAGACTGTGGTCCTGCAGGATGGAGGAGCTGCAGTGTGTGTCAGCTCATCTGCATAATGACTTTGTAGTTGTGCATTAATAACATTTGCATATGAAGCCGTGTTAATTACTCCTGATCAGCCTCCTCTGCATTCATGCATGCTAATTCTCTGACACACGCCAAAATGGATGTCCTGGCGTCAGGGAGGAGGCCGCTGTGTGTGTGTGTGTGTGTGTGTGTGTGTGTGTGTGAGGATGAAGACAGGGTGAAGGCAGATTGCGGTGGTTTGTTTTCAGGCAGCATCTCTCTTTCTTTACCTGCCTGATACTTTAGAAATCTGATATAATTGTGGAGAGTAAAAGTGTGTTTGTGTGTGTGTATTTTCAGGAAAACACACACACACACACAAACACACACACTCTCTCTGGCTGGCAGCCATGTGTGGATCTATTGTTTATTCTCAGTTCTTCATTTCAAACACTTATTTTTCTCTCAGCTCCTCGCACTGAGCTGTTTGATCAGGAAGGATAAAATTCAGACTTTTATGAATGAGGTTTGGTTCTGGTTTTAGTAGCTGAATTTTTTTACACCGTATGATTGACGTTGTACCTCCGGGAGACCCTCACAGCTCCTCAATACTGTGATCAGGATGGATAAATCTGTATATATTTATAGCGCAAATGAGATGCAAACATGTCCAAACAGCTGTCCTGCTCCGTGCACTTTGCTCTTGTTTGGTCTCAGTTGCACAGGATGAGCCGGCGCAAAAGTTGCGCAATCCTTTTGTGAATGAGGCCATCAGTGTTTGGTTCTAATGACAAGTGTCCATCTTGTCCACATGTGTTTCTCAGACCATATGATCCACATCGGTCCTCTAGAAGAACCTCACAGCTCCTCTGCACTGTTGGATCCATTTGTCTGGATGGATTAAATCAAGCATTAAATGAAACAGGTTTGGTTCTAATTGATTTTGGTTTAGTGGCAAATGTTTTTGGACCCATGACCCGCACTGTGTTTGACCTTCTCAGGGTCCCCGGACCACACTTTGAGCATTACTCTGTGTAACAGCAGCTGAGCCCTGACATCTGCTCTGCAGCTTGAATTTAATGCTTTTAAAAAAAAAAGAAGATATTTTCTTTGATGAAAACGGCGTCTACGTGAGTGAAGGTTGATGTTAAAAAATGCTCATTTATTTAAATCTTCTCCCTGAAGGAGCGGCTCTTTTGAACTCCCCACAGAGACCATCAGGTTTAACAGACCTCCTGCTGACAAAGACGCACACACACACACGCACACGCACACAATTCGAGCTCCTCCACAGCTCAGACTTTACTCATGGTGATGTTTTTAGACGTGAGCCTGTGGTTTTGTCACACAGCTGTGAGTGTGTGTATTTGTTGCCAGACTGTGTGTTTGTTTGTGTAAATGCAGAGAAAGATGAGCGAGAGAGGAGAGAAAAGGTGTTCCTCAGCTAGACAGACATAACATAAAGTCCTGCCTCCTGAGACCCCCCCCCTTCAGTCTGACAGAGATAGTCTCCATCTCTAAGGTGCATGTGTGAACAACCAATTCAAGAGGACTTTAGGGGCTTTGACTTCCTTAAATTATGGAGAAGTGTAAAAACGCCTTTAGTGACATATTTCTAGTTAATGTAGTTTTTCCATGTTTCAGGAGAAAATAAGAAGTTGAATCCAGAAGTTGGATTATTGCGGGTTTGAGTTTGTTAGAATATAACAAAAACTATCCCCCTTTCTTTTGACAATCTTGGTGTTGATCTCAGCACAGCTGGACGTAAACCTGACCCTCACCCGGTCATAAAACACACCAGCGCTCTCTCTCTCTCTCTCTCTCTCAGAGTCACAGTCAGGGGGAGACGTTCTTCCAGGACTCTACATTCAGGATTATGATCTGTAAAAGTCACACATGAGCTCAGTCACAGGTAACACAAACACACATGCAGCGAGTCGTCCTTTGGCATAAACAGAGAAACACATCTGCACTACAAAACACTCTCGACTCCTCCGTCCCTCTCCTGAACAGCTCGTCCGTCCTCACACACTCTGGGGGATTAACTCTCATGGTCGCCCCTCTCCTCCACGAGGAGCTGCAGCGCCGGCCAAATCACCACTTAACAACAAAAGCTAATTTCTCACTTGGTTAGACTGTGTGTGTGTGTGTGTGTGTGTGTGTGTGTGTGGGGGGGGGGGGGGGTGCTGGATTAGGGTCCTGTGTGTGCAGACTGAGGGATGTTAAAAAGGATTTAAACCTCAATTACAACGACTCAGGCTTTGTGTGTCCATGTAAAGGTGGGACGCTGAGGATACACACCTAGCTGGAGTGTTTCAAGCAGTGTGTGTGTGTGTGTGTGTGTGTGTGTGTGTGTGTGTGTGTGTGTGTGTGTGTGTGTGTGTGTGTTAGGGCAGCACAGCCTGACAGATACATGTTGATCCTCTTGTTTCGGAGGCTTTACTCTCACACGTTAACTTGAACATGAGGAGAGACACTTGTACTGTCGGAGCATGAAAGAACAGCTGTTTAGTGCTTCCTGTTTGTCATGGAAACAGGTGTGACATCACCATGTCCAGACGACACACAGAACGGTTACATGATGTGAGAAAGGGTCGATTTATGATTTCATTTATTCCTTTAATCTACTCAAACTGAACTTTTCAAAAACATGTAAACACTTAATATAAGTCAATTTCCTCGAAGCCGGACGAACCCATCGAGATAATCAGTCTGGGGACGGTTAACGCTTTCATGTCTACACCTCAAGTGGACCGAGTCTTGCCACCATCCATATTTCGGGCAATAGGCCGATTCCCCTCCAGTGTTTGTATACTACAATTATTCAAATAAAATGCCTATAACACTATAACTGTAGTTCATCTTAAAGTTGAGCTATTACCCTGATCCCCATCTTAAACCTCACACAAACCCTTTTCACACATACGGAAATCTCCTGAGAAACTCTTGAGATTTGGCTACCCGGAGGGACTTTAGGCTATATGTGAATGCAAACATCCACATTTTTCGCACAGACTTTACCCGGAGTTTCGAATATACTCCAGAGATTTCAACTCGAGCCAATGGAACGAGAATGATGTTTATATACAGTGACTGCCTAAGGTGTCTGCATGTTTTCTGTTCGTCAGTATGTTGTTCGCTACTCTTTTGTGGATGTTGTCATTCCATTGGATTACACATAGCATAGATATAAAGGCAAATATTCTCATTATAACGTCGTGTCGTGGACTCTGTTGCTTCGGCCGCTACTTCCGCGTTGTTTATTTACGTCACGTCTTATCCTCCTCTTTCTCCAACAGCATTGAAATCAGAGTCTGAGCTCACAGCAGCAGTTTCTCCTGCTCATTGTGAACCTGCAGCATCCTAAAGCACAACCTGAAGACCCCCCCCCAAACTATTAAGTTAACTCTTACTCTGCTCCTCTTCAACATCCAGTAGATGTTTCTGTTTTTCTTCATGTGTTTATTTGGTGTGAGGGCAGAGAAGCTCTCTCCATCTCCCATCTCTCATCCTCACGCATTTCCAGTCTGTCCTCCTCCTCCTCCTTCCTCAGACTTTAAAGTGAAGAAGAGGGCTCAGAGAAGGGGGTCAGATCTGTTTGGTTTGAATCAAAGCTCGGCCTCAGTCCGCTGACTCTCTGAATTATTCACTGAGAGGAAAATCCAAACAAAGCAGCAGCTACAGAAAAATCTATTGATTGATTAGAA